TACTAAGTCTAATATTCTATCTTTAACGTTGGAGATATTATTAATTTGGAATAAGCATTTATCAAATATTGTTTCCCAGAAAATAGCCATGTCAGAAGAAGTTGATAATGTTGATGAAGTAGGCACATAATCGATATTATTGTCACCTAGAACCCATGTTAACTTTGGAAAATTGAAGTCACCAAAACAAACATTTTCACAATTAGATGGCATTGAATTTGAAGCTTGCTTTATTAATTCAGCATGTCTAAGGTAAACGTCGGTTTCAGAGTTAGGAGCTATATATGAACAGGTTAAGATAAAAGATAAACCTAAATAATTTAATCGAACACAAACAAATTCAGTATCTGAATTATTATTTATTGAAACGCACTCAGAGGCAATGGAATTATGTACAGCTATCAGCACTCCACCGCCGATTTTATTAAGTCTATCATGCCTATAAACTTGATATTCATCTGAAAAAATTTCAGTATCACCAATCTCAGGTTTAAGCCATGTTTCAGAGAAGACAACAATTTTATAATCGCAATCGAAAGATTTAAGGTAAATATTTTTTAGTTTAGTATTGAGACCTCTTACGTTTTGATAAATTAATTGTAAGGAATTACTTAGTTTTTTGAACCGGATACGTTATCGGAAATAACCAATGGTTTTGCGATGTTGGATCTTTCCCTAAATTCAAACTCTTTTACTAAAATCCCATCAGGCCAAAACGATTCATTGACTAAAACGTTAAATATTTTTTGAGGAATAACAAGTTTAAATGAGGAAATGTCACGTGGAGTTGATGACTTAAACTTAAAAATTTTAAAATCATTTTCATGAAGGCTATGTATTTTAGATTTAATATAATTTCGGATGTTATCTACCGATGTATTAGAATGGAGCCTAGAGATAAATAGAGTTTTTCTAGGAGCAACAACGATAAGTTCACTATTGTCCACAGAGACAGGAGGATTAGATAAAGTTACCGGATTTGCAGATGGAGTAACTTCTATAGCAGGTATACATAAAGAAGAATCAGTCAATTTGGCTTCAGAAGATAAGTTTTCAGTCTGAATACTTGGACCGTTTTGTTTGTTTGAGTCAGCAGTGGTTAAGCCACTGGGTGGTACAGGTGAATATAGCGCCGGCGGCGCAAGATGGTTTTCGGAAGGAGCACTCTTGCTATTATTGCGTTGCGATAAAACAACTGGTGAATTTAAAGTAATTAAATTATCACCATGAGCAACAACCGAAGTAGTCTTCTTCCGTTTCGGAGAACCATCTACATATTCAAATTTGTTAAACATATTCTCAAACTTATCAAGTCGTAAGCATACAGAATTAAACTCTTTCTTCATGGCAGTTATCTCGATTTTAGCATCCTTAAAAAGTCGATAAAAATCGATTTCTAAGCACCTGCAATCGGGGCATGCCCAACGAAGTCCATTTTGACGATCAGTAATTAAGTCAAAATGACGACCATTAAAACCCGCACACTTAAAATGAGCAAATTTTTCGCAAAGCCAGCATGTTATTAAACGTTCAGTAACGCTGGTAATGGAACAGCCCTTATACAAACAAGCCATTGAAATAACAATAACTGCCTAAAGTTATGCGACAGTAAATTTAATTAAAATAATAAGCTTTAAATTTAATACGAAAACAATCACAATTTAGTTAGCGCCTGAAAATATGCTCAACTTTTACAAAAACTGTTGATGCTTGAATAAAAGATAACAACAGTATGACAGCAAAACGTCAAACACGTATAATAAGAAAATAAGAATATAAGCACTAAAAGAAAAATAAGGAAATAAAACTATAAACACTTTATCACCAAATTAACACTTAAATGCACAAACTAACACTTTCCACTTTGTTGCTAAATGACAAATTTACGAAAAAGTTGTAAATTTATTTAAATAACAATGTATTAATAAGTAAATTTAATGAAATTTGAAACACAATATTGACACAACACAAAAACTCGACTTTACACAACAAGCGTTGCCAGACTTCAAGAAAACATTTGATTTGCGCCAAAATAAACAACAAACAAAGGACAAACACAATTATTTGTATTGCATTTAATATTAAAAATAAAATGAATAATAAAAGGAAAATTGATTTGGCATGTTCCCCGGGAACATTTAAGCTTCCTGCATAAATACAATGTCCTCTATCTGGAACTTGCCTAAAAAAAAATATAAGGAATTAGTTTCTAATTTAATGAAACTTTGCACTACTTACGAATTTCTTCCATTTTCTGTAATTTTTATAGAACTTAATTTCAAATTGACCTTTGCAAATTAAAAAAAATGTTTTGAATAATGTGTTTGGTCGTAAAACAGCTGATCCAAAAATGCTGAGTTTGCAAAATCTTACTGCTTAAAATTCTTTCAGTAAACTCCAGTAAGTTTATTGTTGTTCAACTGTCAAACTTGCTCTCTCACTTGACTCTCTTTTTCTGGATTTTTGTGTAAACAGACAACGTATATTAACATTTGATAACAATTGTTACCAAATATCGAGTAAACAGACAGAGCCATTATGAATATCAACTTTTGCCAGGTGCCGTCGATAATACTGTTTTGACACTTCTGCAACTAGAAATATTGTAAACAAACAAAAAATTGAATAGAATATTTCAGAAAAGCTATTTTTAAGTGATGATCAGCTCAGTGGAACTAGGTTTTTATAATGAAAATGATGTGCAAGCGTGGAATCTATTAGAAGGCATTTAAGAAATAAATCCAATCCATTAGAACTACCATCCGTTCTGTAAGTAGATGTTTATGGGTCGATTATGGAAAGCAACCAAACTCCAGTTGCGAGTTCAACTTTCAACGCAATTGAAATAAAACTTACCATTATGAATATCAACTTTTCTCAGTTGCTGTCGACAATACTGTTTTGACATTTCTACAACTAGAAATATTGTAAACAAACAAAAAAAAAATGAATGAAATATTTCAGAAAAACTAATTATATGTGATGATAAGCTCCGTGGAACTATTTTTTGATGATGAAAATTATGTTCAAGGTGTGCCATTTATTAGAAGGCATTTAAGTGATAAATCTATTAGTTCTGTGAGTAGATGCTGAAGTTTAGACAAATGTTCAATCAACTGCTCAACCTTAGCTTGAAGGCGTATTTTCGACTACCAAAAGATGCCGTTGTGTACATAGATGAAGTCTTAAACCCTGATTTCCGAAAAGCATGGCGGTCAACAGCAATTCCTCCTCTCTTAAAAATCTGTGCAGCTCTGATGTTTTTTGTGGAGGGAAGTTTTCAAAAGTCCCATGGCAATAACTGCACCATGGCATGGCTCAAACGACAATGTCAGTGTTTTTCGCCAAAGTTATCCAGCTAATAGAGGAAAAACTGTGTAAAATTTTGATCGTATCCAAATTAACGGAGGAGGAAAAAGGGACGAATAATTTTTTTTATTCGAAAACTAAGTTTCAGGGTGTTGTCGGATGTATTGATGACATACACGTACATATCATGGACCCAAAAGAAGATGTTCGCCACTTTCTGCCATTCATTTGGAATGCGTGTTGGTGGGCCATACCAGTTAAGGTGTTCTGAAATGGCCTTCCACACATCATCGATAGTGGCTTTGGTTTGACCAAAAGTCCGCTCGCCGCGTGCTACATTTGGGTGAGCTTAAGGACCCCAAATTGTTCTTTTGTAGTAATATTAACCATTATTGGAAGCATACAATGTTCAGTTATTATAAACAGCAACCAGAAATAAGTAGTTGCAGAAAAATTATATTTGAAGTAACTGAAGTTGACAACAGTTGCCACCCATAATTCAAATTTGGCAACTGGCAACGCCACTAAACTATGGTTACCATCCGTAATCGACCCATTTATTTGAGTGGAAGCTGTGACTACTTTAATGTAAAAAATGTGTAAAAACAGGTTGAGGTGAACATGTTTTCTTTATGTTCTCTATCGATTTTGAACAAGCCACTCATTTCACGGTCTTCGTCTACAAGTCTACAACATGGGGACTACGTCTCCTTTGTATCATTTTTTAAAATGTTAATTGCATCTACCTTAAAATGATGCTGATATTTTGAAGTTCGATTTTGAGTGTTTTTTGAATCCTACTTCTAACTTTAATACGCAAACAGAAATTTCTAAAAACCGATTATAAGATTATTTTAGTCGCGAATCTGGGTAATTTGATATACCGCCTTATTCGGGATATTTGCTAGGGAGATATTTCGCATGTAAAAAAATGTCTCTTTCACATTCTTGCCTTATTCTGAATGAATAGGGAGATGCAAAAAATTCGAGATGCGGATTCGAGTTTTCGAAAATGGTGGTTGAAAAAAAGATTTGTGTTGCCATATTGTAATTTAAGTTGTAATGTGTGTTGCCATATTGCAATTTAAGTTTTTTTTTTAAAATTGTTACTTTTTATTGTTATTTAAACTTTATAACAATACAAATGTGAAATGAAGAATACGCTTTATAATTGCTTTGTAATTAAAGGAAAATAAATTAAAGTTTGAAAATATGGCAACCTACAATATGGCAGCTGTTCATTGTTTTGATGTAATTTGTTGCAACAACTGCAATAGAAGATTACAAATAAAAGAACATTTGTTTATGATGGCAAAAATACAACGAATAATAGGAAGAAATCTGCGATTGAATTAATTAATTCACAGTTTGTTCGCGCCAATATGGCAACACTATTTTTGTTTATTACTTTATAATTCTATTCTTTCACTTGACATTTTACAATGTCATTTGTATTACACGATCTCCCTTTTCTCTCCCTGAATTTGCATCTCACCGCGAAAACACGTTTTTGTTCCGCTACAATTACAATTAAAATTTATTAAATAGAATTTATTAAAACAGAAATTTATCTGAACCAGCATTTTTATTTCGCCCCAACATTTTATGGTCCTTCGGTCGCGGATTAAATTATTATATGTTAAAATATAAATATTTAACAAATTAATAACCCGCGTAAGTACATAACCACAATGGCTGTGAATGAGGTTAAGGTACGCGACTCAGCTTCCAGAGCGATAAAGAGGTATTTGGAGGCTAGTAAAAGAGATGAACTGGCTTTTAATTTAGAAATGGCCCAAAACTTTTGCCTGCTTCTGGAGGAGCAATGGCGACGATTTACCCAAGCCCAAGAGAAGGTGGATTTGTCATGTGGCGTGGAATACGAGGTGGAAGAACATGCTCGTATTCAAGCAGAGGATTGGTATTTGCTCGCCAAAAGCAACATTGATAAATTGCTCGTCCCGCATTCTACTACACCTGAAAATGAAGTCGCCTACACTCAGAATTCCCCCGCGGATGTACCAGTAGCAACTGCGTCCATACAATTGCCAACGTTTGACGGCAGCCCAGGTGACTGGGTGTCATTCCACGATGCATTTAACTCGCTGATACATACCAACAAAAACATCACAAGTGGACATAAGCTACATTACTTACGCAGTTGCCTTAAAGGTGAAGCTTTGCAAGCCATCAGCGGACTCAAAGTAAGTGATGCAAATTACTTCGAGGACTGGAATATTTTAATAGATCGCTATAAGGTTATGCGACTATTAGTAGAAACGCATTTCCATGCCATATTTACTATGGAAAAGTCTACGAAAGACACCGCTACTTCAATAAAGTCCATTCATGGTACAGTTTTGCAAAATATTGCTGCCCTACGGGCACTTGGCCGCCCCGTGACCTTTATGATGATTGCTTAGTATACTGGACAGTATCAAAGCTGTCATATGAAACCCGCAAGCAATGGGAGTTGTCACTAACAGATGACTCGCCGCCCACATTTGAGGAATTATCAGACTTCCTGCTCATAAGAGCCCGCTCGCTAGAAATGCTTACCAATTCCGCTCCGCCTAGCCAATCAAAACCCACAACAAAACAATTCAGAAAGACCACGAGTGCATTCCATAACAGCGCCACAAGCCAGAGATCTATCAATATGATGAATATGCCAAACTGAGTGTCGCCAACAAATTTGATGCGATTCGACAGAAGAACGCATGCTTTAATTGCCTTAGTTTAGGTCATATCACAACCAGCTGCAGAAGCCTGTCAAAATGCCGAATATGTCTCCGCAATCATCACACCTAAATCCACGAAGCATTTTCCGAAAATTACCAACGCAATTCGGCCGCAAGTCAATCAGCTGGTTTTGACAACTCACAACCCGCTCAACTTAGTACAAATTCGCATTTTGTGTCATCATATAACCGTCGCCACCGCACAGTATGTAAACAGCTTTAATACAGCTTTTACTACGAAACACAAACCGCAAAAGCCAGTACATTCGCATTATTGGGTACAGCTTTAATTCGCTTAAGAGTCCGGCAGACTCCAACCCGCTAGAGCTCTCTTTGACAATGGCTCCCACGCAACTTTTATAACGGAGGCATGTGTTCAGCGCCTTGACATACCTCGCAAACCCGCATCAGTAATGGTAACAGGCATTGGAACATCGCCAGGTGGTGCTGTAAAGGGTAAGGAAAATTATAACTTTGTCCTGAATCATCCACTAACGTTTTCAACATCAATGCTCTCGTTTTACCAAAACTGACAAACGATTTACCCTCCGTGGAAATTCCTATCGGGCGCTGGCCACACATCGAGAATCTATGCCTCGCAGACCCGTATTTCGCACATCCCAAGGGTCCACCGGGAACGCCAATGGCCTTCAATACACATTTAGGCTGGGTATTATACGGCAATATCAGTCAGCCTGCCCTAACGTACAAATTGCCAATCTTCATTGTGACCTACATCTTTCCAGAGTAAGTTTTGGGAAGTGGAAGAGCCATGTGCGAAAAAGCATTACACGGTCGAGGAAATCGCATGTGAGGAACACTTCAAGAGAACTCACAGTCTAGCCAGCGATGGACGCTCTATCATTCAATTGCCTTTTAGAGATTCTTTGGCACTGGGAAAATCTCGTGGAATAGCATTGCGAAGCTTCACACGTTTGGAAGCAAGGCTGGTCAACGACGAAAATCTGAGAGCCCAATACAACGCATTCATAGACGAGCTTATTTCAATGGAACACATGGAACTGGTACCAATGACGTATGAGCCAACAGAATACTGCAACTACATGCCGCATCATGCAGTGTTAAAGGATACCAGCTCCACGACAAAACTGCGCGTTGTATTTAATGCCTCGATGAAGACGTCCACAGGTCTTTCGCTGAACGACACCCTCATGGTGGTGCCGCAACTACAAGGTGATTTGTACTCAATTCTGCTGCGATTTCGTCAGAATCGCTTCGCCATGATGGCAGATGTGGAGAAAATGCACCGGCAGGTGTATGTAGCAAAGAAGGATACAGATTTTCAAGGCATCGTCTGGCGTCGATCTCCCGCAGAACCTGTCATGGACTACCACTTATTACGAGTTACATACGGTGTAGCTTCCGCATCTTATTATGCTGTAAAATGCATGCAGCATACTGCAAAAAACGCAAACGAAAGAGTTGCTCGCGTCATTACCCGAGGCTTTTATATGGACGACATGCTCAGCGGTGCCTCCAGTGAGGAGGAACTACTATCGCTACAAGCCGATGTATCAAAACATCTATCAGAAGGTGGTTTCGAGCTTCGAAAATGGGCAACGAACTCCGCGAAGCTCACTCAACGCATTCCGCAGACTACACATCTTGTTGATGATGAAGAGGTTCGAACGCTAGGTAACATATGGAATACAGCAGATGACAGCCTCTCATTATTGGTTAACTTAAGGGTGTTACCACCAAAAATATCTAAGCGTTTATTCCTATCCGACACAAGCATGCTCTTCGACCCGTTGGGATTAATTGCTCCATGTACTATACGTTCGAAAATCTGGATGCAGGAATTATGGAGCGCTAATGTCAATTGGGACGAAGATTCGACCGTTGGATTGGTACATCAGATACCACAACCACTGAATTTCACGTATTCGCTGACGCTTTAGAACGAGCTTACGCAGCTGCTCTCTACGCACGCACTGTACACCCCGATGGAAGGGTATCTGTTTCATTGGCAACCTCCCACACTAAAGTAGCACCGCTAAAAACACAAACAATACCCCGCCTCGAGCTTTGTGGAGCTTCATTAGCAGCTAAACTTGTTCGAAAGGTAAATGAAAGCATTGGTAGTGGCTTTAGAACGTATGCTGGGACAGACTCAACTGTTGTACTCGCGTGGTTGCACGGCCATCCTAGTCGATGGTGTACTTATGTTGCTAGCCACGAGGCAGATGTCCAATAAGTTCTTACCCCTGTAATATGGAATCATGTGCGCTCAGAAAAGAATCCAGCAGATTGTGTTTCTCGAGGCATCAATGCTAGCCACTTGCTACAACATAACCTTTGGTGGAATGGACCCGATTGGCTACAAAACAGTGTACCCACATGGTACCGGTGCCATACCAATGAATACTCAACATGTCTTGAAGCTCTCAAGGTAGCAGCCGCAACAGCTCAAATCACCACTGATATTGAGTATTGGGATTTGATTCTTCGGTACTCCTCATTCAACAAACTCGTTCGCATCACGTCCTACTTGAGACGCTTCACGTACAACATCAAGGTCAAGCTACAAAATTTAACGCCCCGCCGAATCGCTATTGGTAAAGTATGAACAACATTTTTCATTTCATCAAGAACTTCTTACTAGTAGAGAAGAGAGGACTGTATCAAAGTGTAGCAGTTTACTTCGTTTAAACCCATTTCTCGATGACCAAGGTATTCTCCGTGTAGGAGGACGACTACGACGTTCGAATCTGCCCTATGAAGCCCGCCATCAAATTGTTTTGCCTAAAGGGTCACCGCTAGCAAAGACTATCATATTCGAAATTCATTTATACACCTTGCATGCTGGTCCACGTATCATTCAAGCCACGCTTGAAAGACGATTTTAGGTAGTTGGAGCTCGCAGCCTTGTTCGCAAAATCTATGGCAGCTGTGTAAAATGTACAGCAAGGAATAATCGACCTGTGCAACAAGTGATGCCAGATCTAGCCGATTTTCATCCTTCTAGCCGATTTTCATCCGCGCGTTGCTTCCTGCATACAACCGTAGATTTCGCAGGCCCGAGGTTAAAGCATACTTCGAGAATAACGTGGCACTTTAATCCGCCTAGCGCGCCCCATATGGGTTGTTATTGGGAGGCCGGCGTAAAACACGTAAAGTACCACCTAAAGCGAGCACTCGGTGACGTTTTGCTGACATACGAGGAATTTAACACTCTTTTAACTGAAGTGGAAGCCTGCGTAAATTCCCGACCACTTGTTGCTCTATCATCCCAACCAGGAGAAGAAAAAGCCTTAACGCCTGGCCATTTTATCATGGGTGAGCCATTGAAATCATTGCCCGAACCTAACACCTCAAACTTTCGGGGTTCACTCTCGCGGAGATGGAATACTATCAGTGCAATGCGACAGCATTTTTGGCGCCGTTGGAAGACAGAGTACATATCCAGTCTTCAAAAACGCAATAAATGGTTCCTTCCTACTCCTAACCTTGCGTTGACGACATAGTCGTAATACACAATCAACTAGCCCCGCCTACAAAATGCAAACTAGGACGAGTTATTGAATGCCGCCCTGGCCAAGATGGTCGAGTAAGGGTAGTCCTGCAAACTAAAGATGGTCAATTACTTCGCCCCACCGCTAAATTAACCTTGTTGCATACTAAACTTGCGTCGAGGACCTAATACTTTATTGTATAATTTTTCATATTGTTAAAAGTTGAACTTTTTTTTCGAACGTTCCCAGCCTCACTTTCCCACCCCTGCCGACCGAGGGGGCGACCTCCCCCTTCGTAGGGATCGCGTACACACCATAATCCTCATCATGGTGGAATGTGAGAAGGGAATAGAAAACCAGCTACAGAATCTACTCCAACAGCCAGTTTATTATTAAGTTGCACTACTCATTTAAAAATACAATTATATTAGATTTTATAAATTCAACATTCTTGCTAAAATCTACATTAGAGTACACAGAATTAAAATCAATACAAATTTTACTGAGTGGATCTCCCATAGAATAATTTGTGCGATGAAAATCTACATGTAATAGTTGATAATATCTACTAGATGGAAAAGGAACATTTATTCTAATAGATGAAATTATGAAATCAGAGGGTATATTACCATTTAATAATTTTAGTACCATCATAGTGTTCAACATAATACGTCTACTTTTTAATGTAGGTAACCGAATTAATTTTAACCTGCTAGTGTAAGAAGGCAACACAAAATCGCTATTCCAATGTAAACCCCTCAGTGCAAAAAGTAAGAATTTTTTCTGCACTGATTCAATTTTATCGGAATATATTGCATATTGAGGATCCCATACAACAGAACCATATTCTAATATAGGTCTAACAAGAGACGTGTATAGTTGTTTTGTTATATAAGGATCCGAGAATTCTTTGGCACACCGTTTTATAAAACTTAATACACCAAATGCTTTATTTACCATAGAAATAACATGATTGTTAAAGTTTAACTTTGGATCCATTAAAATACCAAGATCCACGAATGTTTCAACTGTTGATAAAACCGAACCGTTAATATTGTATTGCCTCATCAATGAAGAATTTACTTAGCCCCGTAGTTCAAGGCGGCCGGCATGTTCGCGCCAATATGGCAACACTATTTTTGTTTAATACTTTATAATTCTATTCTTTCTCTTGACATTTCACAATGTCATTTGTATTACACGATCTCCCTATTCTCTCTCTGAATTTGCAACTCACCGCGAAAACACGTTTTTGTTCCGCTACAATTATAATTAAAATTTATTAAATAGAATTTATTAAAATAGAAACTTATCTGAACCAGCATTTTTATTTCGCCGCAACACAGTTTATTATTTCACTACATAATTGTGTACCTTTTTATTTAATTCCGATATTTTATCTCCCCAAATTCTTAAAGTGGGCAGTTATGTTATGATTTGCTCCTAATCCTTTATTTTTTTCCTTCAAATCATGCAAATGATAATTTTGAAAAAAAAAATATGTTTTTAGCCTTATTATTTTTGTTTTTTCATAATTTTTATTTAAGCTTTTCACTGTTAAGCGGCTCATCTGGCAAATTTGGGTTTTCCATAAATTTTAAAATGTTTTTCTTGTGAGAAAGATCCTTACCCAAAATGTCTCTATTTCTCCTCAAAAATACATCAAACTAGACTTAAATATTCCTTATTAACTTTATACATTCCGTGGCAATATTTGGTTCAGCATGCATCGTTATCAATAGGATAAATGGCATTTTTTTTTGTTGTTTTCCAGTTAAAAATTTGCATACAATCGTTTATAATATTCTAAATCATCATAGAATAAATATTGTGTAAATATTTTTCATAAAAATATTTATTACTTATGTTTTTGTAGTCAGCTCCCTTTGAATTTATTAGCGAAAAAATTCGCACAAAATTTCATCTCATTCTCCTACTCCCTGTAATCCAGAATACCTATTACATAAATTTTTATATTTGTCAATTAAATGATATGGGTGCCTGCGATTAGTAAACCTTTTTACGTTTCGGATGACATAAAATCTTCTTCGTGAAAATCCACCTACTAGAACGGCAGAAACTGGTCTTCCAAAAACACGAAATTTGAAAAAAAAATCTTTTTAAAAATATCGCGGATTTAACTGCATTTTCTGTGGATCATTACAGGATTTTGAACTTTTCGAAAGCAGAACTTTAAAAACTTCAGCCGAAAGAGTGATGTACCCAATTTATCTCAAAAATAGTGTGACCTGGGTCATCCATGGTCATCCGCATTGAAATAGGTATACAGTGAGCAGCAAAAGTCATGGTACCCAATACAAATAAAAAAATATTCAGTAATTACTCAAAAAATAATTTACAAAATTTAAAACAATTATTTTTATTTTATGTATTCAATCCTATACTACAAAAATGAAAAATAATATTCCATTTATTTGTTCCAACAAACCATAAAAATCAAGATCGTGTCAACTCGAAATTTTTGCACAGCATAAGTCATGGTATCCCTGGTCAGAGCTGATATTACACATTATTTATGGGACAAAATCGTTTAGTGAAATATGTGGCAACTATTTAGAGTTTTGTCAAATTCTCTTTTAAAACAATAACGATACTTTCCACATTTCCAAAAGCATTTGCTTAGTGCAACAAGTGAAAGCAAGTATTTTTTAAAATGCCTAGAAAGGAACTAACTATTGAAGATCGAAAAATAATAATTAATAATCATGAAATGGGAAAATCGTATTCCGAAATAGGTAAAATGATAAACAGTCCAAAAAGTGGTTAATCGATACAAAAAAGGAAATATAATTGAAAACAACATCAGAGAGGAACGAAAAATTTTATATATTATCAAAAAATATTCATATAACAGCGCTCCTACAATCGCTGCAGACTTAAAAGAATCATTTGGGAAAGCAGTTTCAGCAGACAAGATGTATCAAGGAATCAATATACTTTTTATACAAGGATAAAATATATGTACAACAAAAAGGAATGCCTATGGGCTCGCCAATATCGCCAGTGATAGCAGACATAGTCATGGAAAACCTACTTGACGAGGTGATGAATAAATTAATCGAAAAATCAAGACTATTGACGAAATATGTTGACGACATATTTTGCATTATAAAAAAGGACGAAATTGATAACACTCCCAAAACTTCAAACGCTTATAACAAACTTCAGCGTTTCGCAATAGAATGTGAATCAAATAATAAACTTCGTATCTTGATTCCACTATACTACGATAAGAAAATTCTTTGGTTCTGGATTGGTATCAAAAGCCGACTGTCTCCGAACGAATAATAAATTATCACTCCAAACACCCTCGACGAATAAAAATAAATACTGCGACGAAATTTATACGGAGAGTTTTCAAAATTAGAGACTCTAAATTCCATCATAAGAATGAATGTGACGTCAGAAGAATCCTGCAGATGAAT